CATCCCCCCATATAGTATTTCATCCCTCATAAAGTAATTCATCCCTCATATAGTATTTCATCCCCCACAGTACTATTCCCCCCCCCCCCCTTCTAGTAAGCCAAGTCCCCCGTGTCAATTCACTTACCTTTTGCGTTCCTCTCGCTGTCTTCCCGCGCCGTTCGGGTCTTCAGGGCGGACTGTGAGAGGAGCCTAGCTCCCCTCCCCTCACGTTCGGCACGCTGCCCCGCCGCCTACACACATCCTGACAGCCACATCCGCAAGCCGGATTAAAAGGTCCGCGCGGACTTTTGGGGCTGCCAACCGAGAGGAGGCAGGGGAGCGGCCGACCGAGAGGAGGGAGGGGAGCAGGCGCCCGGCACACAGAAGAGCCGCATTAGACTGGGTAAAGAGCCGCATGTGGCTCGCGAGCCGCGGCTTGCCGACCACTGAATCATTAGATTCTAATGATTGGTCTATTTGTGAGCCGAAGCCACATGTTACAGATGAAATTGGAATTTTTCCCACGGCACACCAGACAATATCTCACGGCACACTAGTGTGCCGCGGCACAGTGGTTGAAAAACGCTGCTATATAAGTACCGAAAATAAATAAATGTGTAAATGTAATCCTTTAAGAATAAATAGGAGAGGAACTTTATAGATATTTATACGCCTATACACTTTTATATGCAAGCACTCTATAGACCCTACTGGACCATTTTTTAACCTGCTACACTCGGGCTTACCATGCGGCGTTGCTCAGGGGGTCCCTGCAGCACTTACCTTGTCCTTCGCTCCCGCGATGTGTCCCCTGCAGCGTCAACTGCTATCTCCTCTGGCTGATGCCGGCATCAGGCTTCCGTGTTCCGGTCCCTGTGACGTCGGGACGTACGGGCGCCTGAACCGGAGGGAAATTTAAAATTTTAAAAAAATGTCATTTTTGCTGTCATTGCTGTTTCAATGCATTTCACATATATTTTGTCCCTACTGCTTTGTCCTGTGCCCTACCTGCATTTTGACTGTTCTTTCTGCCTGGAAACTTAGAAAAGTCCATGGCGTCCCTTTACGTCAAAAGTGGTTTTAGAACAGCGATAGTAAATCAGAACCACTTGCAGAATTGAGTGATAATGATTAGTGGGGAAATTTGTCATCAGACACTGAAAACGATTTTGCGACTTTGCTCAGCGATGTGCGAATTTGCCTCTGTATTTCAAATTTCAGTGTTTTTGGTTTGATTATATTATTGAATTAAATTTATTATTATTATATTATTATTTTTTATGATTATTTATTAAATTATAATTTATGATTTCGTGTTTCAAGTTTTATCATACCCGGGATGTTTAATAGACACTTGTTCGGACAGATTTCAGTGAGTTATTCCTAAAAATTAAAGCCTACAATAAAAAAACTACATATTTCCATGCAAAAAAAGGTACCACTTTCAGCACAAAAAATCGGAAAGAATCATACTGCCAAGGAGGTTAAGGATCTTTCTGCCAGCAAGAAATAAATACATCATTAATTTCTTTAGGCCCATGTGCAAGGACCCTATTTGTGAACCTTTGTGATGACCAAAGTAAAAAAAAAACCTAGCGATCATGAAGTACAGCATAATAAATGGTATTATTGATTTGCAGGTTATAGAAATGTTCTTCAAACTCCCCATCTGATAAATATAGCTTCTGTTCTGACCTAACAAGGACATGTCAATGCTCACCTCAACTTGGTTTTGGAATGAAAAACACTGCCAGTTCCTAAAATATTTTGCACAGTTCCTCTGGCAGCTGTGAAACATTCAGAGGAAAATCCATAATTGGTGAAGTTTTTGGCACACTTAGAAAGTGCTGAGTCAGGATTAGTTCTATTCAGTGTTGAAATAGGAAAGAAGAGAATATGCTGATATGATAAATCTAATGTGGATTTATAGAAAATGGATTTAGTCCTTTTATAGCAGTCCTTCAGCTTGACAGTGAAAACAGATGGATATTCAAAATCGTTCCTCAATATTTCATGGATTTTAAGGGCATATTTATAAAGAAGAAAATGTGATTCTTACCAAACATTCACTGGTGGGGAATCACTGCCATTATTAATACATTCACCTGTAAGATTCATCTGCACTGAATGTTTGAATAGTTGTTCTATAAATTTGCCCTATAAAATCCAGTAAAAATCATTATGAGTAGGAATGTTTATCACAAATCACCTAAGATGACAATTGTACAGTATGTGTTCAGTATACAGTACGGTATATAGATCAAGTATATTTATCATGATCACTTAACCCTTTCGCTGCCAGAGCCGTTTTTTTTGCATTTTTTTTTTCTCTACACATGTTTAGAAAATAATTTTAGGCCTGAAGATTACATGAAAGCCCTAAGCATTATATGTTTTCTGAAAGCAGACATCCTAAGTCTCGGTTCACTCTACTGTGACCTGAAAGTCGCGTGACTTACAGTACGACTTTGCCAGGCGACTTCCTGGTGACTTGAGTACTACTTTGATGTGACTTTGAAACTACTTTCAGGGAATAAATAAATCCAGTGGGTGTACCCCTGAAGAGGTGCATGTGCACGAAATGCGTCGGGAGAGCCACACTTGCTAATGTCATGCCGCCGCTGCCGAAGGACGGAGCGGCAACCATCTTTGTACTTTGTTTTTATCTTTTCATATATTGTTCTACGTGGATATTTTACTTATGCTGCAATAAAAATACTGCACTATATACCATCTCTGGGCTCCTGTGGTGAGCTGTTCTTCCTAGGAAAGGGTCCATCTCCATTTTTGACTATGGCGGAGCAGCTCATATGATATCCTCTGGCTGTCTCTTGGTTCCCTGATGTGATGTGCATGCATGCTATTTACCAGTAGTTTTCTGGTGAGTTACATCTGGCAGAGGTGGTGGATTCCCTCACTTGATTATTATCACGGTTTTATCTTTCACCTACGATTGCTGTGCCTTGTAGTCTTACGGACATTAATATATGTTTATGGACTATATTACCATATTTGTTTCACTTATTTGATTATCTCAGTTTGTCTATCACTGTGATTGCTGTATCTTGTAGTCCCACGGACATTATTATACTTTATGGACTATTTTATATATTTTATATATTATTTTTTTTTCACTTTATATGTGTGCACTTGACTGTTCCACCTGATATTGTGTATTTATTATTTTACCACTGCACTTTCATACCATACTTTCAGGGAATGCCAGGGTAATCTTCCTGTAATGTTGAATCCAAATCAAATCAATATAGATGAGGATCCAACTCGGAGATGACTTTCATTAAAGTCTGTGGGCACAAGTCGGTTAGGAGTCACCTTGAAGTAGTACAAGAACCTTTTCTAAAGTCGGAGCGACTTCAGTAGTGCTAATTAAGACAGCTCTCATTGACTAACATGGGATTTCACATGTCATGTGACTTGAGGTCCCACAAGTCGGATCCCAAGTCGCGGCAGTGTGAATTGAGCCTAAAGAATAAAATAGCAGTAGTTCCAATTTTTTTTACGTCACACAATATTACTGCAAAGGTTTAGGAAATGCAAAAGTTCAGTAAAAAAAAACACTAAAGTAAATTTTAGGGCAAGCAAATGCAATAAATTACTCACATTTTTGGTAAAAAATAAAAAAATAGGAGATTACACCAAGTAAATGGATACCCAGCATGTCAAACCTTAAATTTGTGTGTTCTTTGTGAAATGACAACAAACTTCACTACCCTATATTATCTAAAAGGCCCTACAAATCATCAGTTTAGTGCTACGGTGGTCTTGTGCTAGAATTGTCGCTCTCACTCCAGCATTCGCGGCGATATGTAACATGTGTATTGCAATCGATGTTTTCACGTGTAGGCTCCCCTGTCGTGTGCATTTGCTTTTGTACATGCCTATATGTGGGGGTGGCAGGGTCTCACATTTTTTGGGGGGGATGTTATGAGCTTGGGTGTAACTTTATTTTTTTGCAATAACAAACAATGTTCTATTTACTTAACCTTTTTATTTCATCATGTGATGATTTTAGGAAGCAGGTTCTCTTTAATGAGACATGCAGGGTATAAAAGACCTGCATGTCTGCTCTGGGCTCCACTGGATGTATTGCAATGCTGATCGCATTGCATTACATCTCTCTCCCCGGCTATTCTAGCCAGAGAGAGCGACAGCAGTAACCTGGAAGTGACGTCATACACACCGTTTCCAGGTCACGGCAAGAAGGAGAGGAAAGCGGAAGTGTTTCCACTCTTCTCTCTCCCCTCCATCCACCATATCAGCCCCAGGCCCGCAGATGGGAACGCGTGTGCAGGAGGATGCACATTTACTGGGGTTGTGGAAGCAATCAGGTGGCAGCACAACTGTCCAACTGCTTCCTCTTGATAGGCAGGAGGCTGCAGCCACTGGATTGTGTATAAAACCCCCCATATGATGTACAGACCTGGCAGTGAAAGAGTTAAAGCATAATTAAAACCATTTGCCCTCCAGAGGAATTACCCCCCTCCCTGAGCAGGCCATTTTTTGCATATGTGTTCCTTTAACTGACAATTGCGTGGTCATGCAACGCTGCACCCAAAATTAATTTTTTTTCCCACAAATAGAGCTTTCTTTTGGTGGTATTTGATCTCCTGTTTTTTTTTTGCGCTATAAAAAGAAAAGTGACAATTTTGATAAAAAAACAGTATTTTTGACTTTTTGCTATTAAAGATGTCCAATAGAAAAATTAAAAAAATTCCCAATACGTGTAAATTAATTGGTTTATGTGAAAGTTATAGCGTTTACAAATGGCGGCATATCTATTGAGATTTTTTTTAACTTTTTTTACTAGAAATGGCGGCAAGCAGCGACTTATAGTGGGACTGCGGTGGGCATTCTGACACTGGGGGGGACTGACTTGGTGTCACTGACATCCACAGTAACATCAATACAGTGATTAGTGCTAAGCACTGACACTGTACTAATGGCACTGGGCAGGAAAGGGTTAACATTTAGGGCGATCAAAGGGTTAACTGTGGGATGTGTGCTGTATGCTGTTTTACATTGTGTCCTGTGTTTGTGCTTTACTGTAAGCACACTGCTTTGCATGGCTGTGCTGTGCACAGCCATTCATATTAGTGTGGAAGAGCTGACCGGAGAGAACTGTGTTGTTTACAAACAGTTCTCCCCCCCATTGGAGATGCTCGGCGGCAATCACAGGGCGCCAGCGAGTAATCAACGTCCGGGACCCGGTGATTGACAGCCAAGGCCGCGAATGACGGCGCGCACCCCCTACCTGGAGCTGCAAGATGGAAGTGATCAGTATTTTTTTTTTTACACAAATTGATCAGCTTTTTTTGTTGTGATTAGCTGTAATTGACCATGGCTAATCACATGACACAGATGGCCTGTGACTGGCCCAGCCTGTGCATGTGATCACTGTGATCATTCACAGCTAGACACACTTGTATACAATGGATGGCATGAAAGGAAGCCATCCATTGTATACAACTGTCATGTGACCTGCTGTAATTGGTCACAGCAGGTTACATGGTACTGGCAACAGGGTCGGGCCGTGTCTGAGGTACACATCCGGTGGCAGATCTTGCCAGAGCGCGGCCATTCGGGCACGCGCAAAGTGCAAACCGAGAAGGACGTCATATGACGTCCTCCCGGAGGGACGAGAGGTTAACCCGGCTAGTCATTTGACTATAGGCTGGGTGGGAAGTAGTTACTAGCCCTGTAATCCATTTCTCATTAAATAGTTTTTTACTGTGTTTATCTGCCTACTTGATGTCCTCTGTGAGCTACCGAACCTTTCTTTTCCCCGCTCACTTTTGTCTGTTTGGAATGATCAGTGCATGTTAGTTGTGGTCATATGCACTGCTCTATGCACACTACAAATCCCATGCTCTATGCACACTACAAATCCCATGCAAAGCAGTGTGATTACAGTGAAGCACATGGACACAGCTTACAGTGAAACAGCACACAGTTAACCCTTTGATTGCCCCTCATGAGGATGTCAGTAACACCAAGTCAGTTCCTCCCAGTGTCAGAATGTCCGCCGCAGTCCCACTCTAAGTCGCTGATCGTCGCAATAACTAGTATAAAAAAAAAAATACCGCCATTTGTAAATGCTATAACTTTCACTTAAACAAATTCATTTTTTTTTAGCAAAGACATGTAGCAGAATACATTTTGGCATAAATTTATGATGAAATTTGATTTTTTTATATTTTTTTTTTACTGGACATGTTTAATAGTAAAAAGTCAAAAACATTGTTTTTTTCTCAAAATTGTCGCTCTTTTTTTTTTATATAGTGCAAAAATAAAAACCTCACAGGTGATCAAATACCACTGAAAGAAAGCTCAATTTGTGGGAAAAAAGGACGTAAATTTCATTTGGGTGCAGCGCTGCATGACCACACAATTGTCAGTAACCCAAAAAATGGCCTGGTCAGGAAGGGGGTAAATCCTCTAGAGGGCAAGTGGTTAATTCAAAAAGTTTGATACTGTTCTGTAAAGACATTTTGTTTATGAAACCAATGTAAAGCTTTAGGGTTATCATCAGGGGTGGACTTACAACTCATGGGGCCCCCGGGCAATAGGGGATCATGGGGCCCCTGTGTCCTCACCCACACTCAAACCACACCCAAAAAAGCCAGTGAAAGGTACCAGGGGCATCTCATGGGGCCCCCTACTGACCCCGGGCCCTCAAATGGTCAGCCTGCCCCTGGTTATCATATTTAATGAATGCCTGAACATTTCATGCTGTTAATCTGTATTTTTAAATAGCATTCAAATGTACAACTGGTAATGTGTTGTAGTAAGCAATGTCTGTCACCAGGATCATTTTCCACTTTACTTATTGATTCCCCTGCCAGTGATGCTTGTGAGGATAGTAGATCTCAGAATGAGTATTGATGAGTGAAGTGACAGGAAAGTGAATGTGATTATTATTTCCTATTCTTTCATGTCCAACATATGGAAGATTAATAAACATTCCTTGTCAGCTGCCCTCCGCAGACAAGAGGTCAGTCTGAACTGTATTGAGTCTTGTTTAGCATTAGGGTGTAGAAACGTCAATTGTTCCTCCAGCAGATGAAAGGAACTGTACTGTACAGCTGTAAGGCAGAATCCATAGGAATTAAGTGTATCTCTGCATAAATGACTAATTACTGTTATTCTGATCTTCATCAAAGTAATAATAATAGTAAATAATAATATTAGCAAAATGGTCTTGATGGAAAAATCACATGGACCAGTGGGATAATGTCAAATTGAAAAGAGGGTCAGTGGAGTCAATTATTCCAATCAATAAAGCACATGTTCTAATCAATTCATTTGTTGGTTTAATCTGTTATTCCTGAAGGAAAACACATACATTTTTTTTCTTAGGGCTCATGTACTCTGCAGCTGATAAACTCACGTTTAGGAGCTGTTCAGCGTTTTTTTCAGCAGCCCCTGAACTCTCCCTAATGTTTTCCTGTGTCCATGTACACATCGTCGTTTACAGTCATTTACAGGCAGTTGAGTTTACAGTCGTTTTTTAACTCATGTAAACGTTTGTAAATACGGTTAACCCCATTTATAAATGTTTGCGTTTAGAAGCGTTTTTTAACTGTTCCATGTCCAGATGCTGTCCAGAGCCTTTTTTCATCATCAGTAATGCATGCACAGCATTTTCCATGTATTCAAATGGACCTAGTACACCAGCGCAGTCAGTTCCAGGTTTTGCATGAAGGAAAAAATGGTAGAATGTACTGCATTATGCTCATGATGGGATCCATAGTGAATACACCAGCGCAGTTAGTTCCAGGTTCTGCGTGAAGGAAAAAATGGTAGAATGTACTGCATTATGCTCATGATGGGATCCATAGTGAATACAACCAGAAAAGACAGGTAATCTCAATACATACTGCTCTCTCTGCTTCTGCTCTCTCTTTTCCTCTCAAAATGTCTGAAATTTTCATTTTTTAGTATTTTTAAGTGCATTCTAGGCATTTAGGAAGGTCTCCTGAGGTAATCTTTTAAAAATGCTTCTAAACACAAATGCACATAAACACGGTATGCAAACGTGGCTAAACTGACATTTTTTAACCTACATTTTCCAGCAGTCAGTTTCCATCGTTCAGAAGAGTTTTCCAAATACCCCGTGTACATGAGCCCCCCTTACCTGCTCTCCAAAATAGCCTGTGATTGCAGAGGACTCCAGAAGAAAAGCATTGAAAGTAATTAAACTGGAAAGAAGTACAAAGGTGTTTCGCTTTGTATCTTTCAAAGGTGCTTCTAAAAAGCATGGAGGCGAAAAAAACCTCTATAGTACATTCATGTTTTACTAAACAAAAAATACACATCCAATTGTAGGAAAAGGCATTTACAGCAGACAAAATATGCATAAAAAAAACGCATGCCCAAACTATCTATCTTTCCCAGCAAACTAGCACGTATAGTTACTTAACTTTTTTTTTCCCGGTGATGGAGTCTTCTTCTTCTTTTGTGATGGATCTCTCCAGACACACTCTTGCTTCTTGGAGTCCTGCAAAAACGAGAATAGTGACTGCAGTAACATTAAAGCGGAGTTCCACTCACCCTGTCAAACAATAAAAGTCAGCAGCTACAAAAACTGTAGCTGCCGACTTTTAAAAAACAGCCACTTACCTGTCCCTCGGTTCCATGGTGTGTCCCCCACAGCCCGTTTCACAGACAGTCCTGTATTCCAGGAGGCCGGCATCTTCATTGTGGGCACCTGGCTGCAGAGGCGTAGCTAGGATATTTTGCGCCCAGGGATGAATGGCCACCTCATGACACCCCCCCCCCCGCTTCATATGGTCCCTGTAGACACCCCCCCTGTCCCAATCACATTGCCCCCCCCCTTCATCCATGGCACTACTCACCCGGTTCGGCTCTCCCTTCGTCCCCTCCGGCACATGCCCGGCTCACTGCCCTCCTCTCCCAGCCGGCTCCTCCTCTCATAATTCACTGTGGATGGCAGGCGTATCAGATGACACATCTGCTGCAGCCGCTGCTGTGATCTTGTGACCTCATTTTGGTGCCCCTGTACCTTGGCGCCCGGGTACAAATGTACCCCCCTGCCCCCCCCCCCCAGCTACGCCTCTGCCTGGCTGTGCAGCTTGCTGCTTCACAGCCGGGTACCCAGTACACATGCACCAGCAGCACGCTGCATTTCATGAATGGTCCTGTAGTCTTCTGGGACCTGTCACGTGTCCCAAAAGACTACAGGGAGGGAGGACACCTTCCGCTTCCGATCGCTTAGGCAAATGGACTGGAAGTAGGAGCGGGTACCTGTCAAATTCGGGTACCCGCCCACCAAAGGTGCCAATCCTTAATGGGGAGCGGGGGGCAGTCCTTAAGGCTGAACTTCCCCTTTTAGGTGGAGCTCCGCTGATCTAAAGCAAGTCTTTCAAGTCTAGGCCCTCATGCACACTGGACATTTTTTCAGCGGCTGTTTTTGGCGTTTGACGTTTTTTTTTCTACAGTCAATAAACTCCTCAGCATGTTATCCTATGTGTCCATGCATACATAGACTGTAATTAACGTTTTTTGGCTGGGATGTTTTTTGGCAGGAAAAAAACCCCTAAAACTAGTGGGTTTCTAGAGGTGTTTTTTAGCTGTAAAAACGCTCTAACGCTGAAAAACGCAGCAAAATGTGGTAAAGCGCCACAAACCAGCATTTTTTGAACTTTTTTTGACAAAAAAATGCTTAAAAATTGCAAACTCGGGAAAACACAGCTAATGCAAAAATGATAAATTTACATTTTTAACATCACACAGCTAACGTTACCAGTGTTATCAAAACAATGCGGCATAAAAAATAAAAATAATTGCTTATTATTTGGAATGGGGTAAATCCCCCCCCCCCCCTGCACTGTTTGGCAGCTACAAAATACATTTAGTGGAGTAAGGCCTGGTTCACAATACGACTTCTCATACTTGCTGTGATGTGCAACACAGAAAGGCACATGACAAATCAAAACACATTCATTTTAACAGGTGCGTCTTAATTGCTGCAACTCAAGTCGCAGCATCAAAAAGTTAGTTCTGAACTGCTTTGCTGCATCTTCCTGCGACATGAGTACCATAGACTGCAATGTTAAATTCACAAAAGTCACAAGGAAGTTGTTTCTTTGTCTTATCTTTGTGACTTTGGTTGTGACATCAGAGCAGAGGTGTATTTACTACAAGGCAAACAAGGCACTTGTCTAGGGCGGCATTTTTCAGGGGGGCAGCACCTCCCCTCAGAAGAAGAGATGGAAGAAGGGA